ATATTAGGATTGAGTCTAGATTGTTTCATGTAGGACTGTTGCATTAGCATAGGGGGCGATGATGAGTTACACCTTGTTGATTTGCTATGATTCACCAGTTGAGATCAATGCCCTGGTTGTTAGCTTTTTGATGCATGATGATTGAACTTGAAGTAAGTCTGAAACAAACTTGGAATTCATGAAGAGCATTCTTGAACTTGGTTGAAACATGTTGTGATATGATCTCATTCCTTATCGTATAAGAACTTAATCTTGACTTGCAAATATCTGGTTGTGTTTTGCTTGCATGCTCATGGTCACCATATACATATTTGGATCATCTTCCTCCTTTCACCACTCTTGTTGATCAAAGTAGCTGATCTTTATTTTGATCAGTTTGCCACACCCGCAGCCTATCCTTTTCTTTCAAGCCAATTGATAATTTTTGATTGGTAGGTCTTTTACCGGATTATGCTTGGGGAGAACGTGTTAGGTATGAGCCGACAGGATTAAAATCTTGAGTAGTTCTGATTTTCACTTTCAAATCAGATAGGACTAGGTCGGGATTCTTACTTGGGTTTGGGATTGGAATGATTGTGGAAAGAAAGAAGAGAAACAGAAAAAGTTGTGTCCTTAGGAGGAGAATGTTTTCTAGAAGTTTATAATCTAGTGATTGATTTTTGTGGGGTTAGCATGATATACAGAGAATGGTTCTGGGATGTTAAGAAAGAGAAAAAGTTTTGATGTCTTATAACGTAAGAAGAAAACAGAACCATAGTTAAGAAGAAATCCCCTATCCACTAGTATTGATAAGAAACTTCTCCTAAGGCAAAAAGCAAAAAGACAAAAATGGGACTGATGTTGAAGGGTAGACATAGGGATCATCCGGGTTTAGATGATTAGGAGTAAGCACTTGGGAACCATTGGGTAGTCAAGGTTTTATTCCTGTATGCATTTGTTGGTCCTTACCTTTAGCATTCTCCCTAAAGCTCAATCCATTCATTGAGAGATCCTTGTCCTGAAATTGTTT